AATGCTATGGGAAGGGAGGAAAACAGGTCCGCGACGTATGAAGTGGTGAAGGAAGTAGTCAAGGCGAGCTGTCTGGAGTGTGAAAACTGTTTATGACGATTAGATAAAGGTAATATTAAAGGCATTCATAAAATTCTATGGAAATGGAGGAAAAGGGGTCCGAGACGTAGGAATTGGTGAAGGAAGTAGTAAAGGCGAGCTGTTCGGGGTATGGAATCTGTTTATGACCTTTAGATTAAGGTATTTGCAATCCTAAAATGCTATGGGAAGGGAGGAAAAGGGGTCCGCGACGTAGGAAGTGGTGAAGGAAGTAGTCAAGGCAAGCTGTCCGGAGTGTGGAAACTGTTTATGACGATTAGATTAAGGTATCTATCAACCTAAAATGCTATGGGAAGGGAGGAAAACAGGTCCGTGACGAAGGAAGTGGTAAAGGAAGTAGTAAAGGCAAGTTGTCTAGAGTGTTGGATCTGTTTATGACCAATAGATTAAGGTATCTACAAACCTAAAATGCTATGGGAAGGGAGGAAAACAGGTCCGCGACGTATGAAGTGGTGAAGGAAGTAGTCAAGGCGAGCTGTCCGGAGTGTGGAAACTGTTTATGACGATTAGATAAAGGTAATATTAAAGGCATTCCTAACATTCTATGGGAATGGAGGAAAAGGGGTCCGCGACGTAGGAATTGGTGAAGGAAGTAGTAAAGGCGAGTTGTCCGGAGTGATGGATCTGTTTATGACCAATAGATTAAGGTATCTAAAAACCTAAAATGCTATGGGAAGGGAGGAAAACAGGTCCGCGACGTATGAAGTGGCGAAGGAAGTAGTCAAGGCGAGCTGTCCGGAGTGTGGAAACAGTTTATGACAATTCGATTAAGGTATCTACAAACCTAAAATGCTATGGGAAGGGAGGTAAATAGATCTGTGACGTAGGAAGTGACGAAGGAAGTAGTAAAGGCGAGTTTTTCAGAGTGTGGAAACTGTTTATAACGATTAGTTTAAGGTATCTGTAATCCTAAAATGTTATGGAAAGGGAGGGAAACGGTTCCGTGACGTAGGAAGTGACGAAGGAAGTAGTAAAGGCGAGTTTTTCGGAGTGTAGCAACTGTTTATAACGATTAGTTTAAGGTATCTGTAATCCTAAAATGTTATGGAAAGGGAGGGAAACGGGTCCGTGACGTAGGAAGTGGTGACGGAAGTAGTCAAGGCGAGCTGTCCGGAGTGTGGGAACTGTTTATGACGATTAGATAAGGGTATGGGCTATCCTAAAATGCTATGGGAAGGGAGGGAAACAGGTCCGCGACGTAGGAAGTGGTGACGGAAGTAGTCAAGGCGAGTTGTCCGGAGTTTGGGAACTGTTTATGACGATTAGATTAAGGTATCTGCAATCCTAAAATGCTATGGAAAGGGAGGGAATCAGGTCCGTGACAGAGGAGGTGGTGAAGGAAGCAAATGCGAGCTGTCCGGAGTGAGGGAACTGTTTATGACGATTAGATTAAGGTATATGCAATCCTAAAATGCTATGGGAAGGGAGGAAAACAGGTCCGCAACGTATGAAGTGGCGAAGGAAGTAGTCAAGGCGAGCTGTCCGGAGTGTGGAAACAGTTTATGACAATTAGATTAAGGTATCTACAAACCTAAAATGCTATGGGAAGGGAGGTAAACAGGTCTGTGACGTAGGAAGTGACGAAGGAAGTAGTAAAGGCGAGTTTTTCGGAGTGTGGAAACTGTTTATAACGATTAGTTTAAGGTATCTGTAATCCTAAAATGTTATGGAAAGGGAGGGAAACGGTTCCGTGACGTAGGAAGTGACGAAGGAAGTAGTAAAGGCGAGTTTTTCGGAGTGTGGCAACTGTTTATAACGATTAGTTTAAGGTATCTGTAATCCTAAAATGTTATGGAAAGGGAGGGAAACGGGTCCGTGACGTAGGAAGTGGTGACGGAAGTAGTCAAGGCGAGCTGTCCGGAGTGTGGGAACTGTTTATGACGATTAGATAAGGGTATGGGCTTGCTACGCACCATAAAGCTTTCTATAGGCTATTCATTAACTTAGGCCTACAAAATTCCTTTGGCTACTAAGTTAGCCCACATTGAACTGAAAGTCATTTTTATTTCTTAATAAAGATAATTCCTAATTTGTGTTTTGTTTCTGTCTAATAAGGTAAGTCTTTGTCTTAATCTTATAATTATGAATTATTTTAAGAATAAATAGATTTGATAAGTTACAATATAAATTTATTAATGAAATACAAATATTAGATAAGTTGTTGGTTGAATTAGCTACAGGGTAAGTTAACAATGGTAAATTTTCAAAATGGTGGGGTTTCCAAAGTGGATGATATTATTCTAGGCTTATTGGGTTGGTTTCTTCTAAAGTACAGTACTAATTACTATTTGAATATGAGCTCTTAATCCAGGGAGGGGTGGTCGTGCCGGTTCGAATGATATATTAGGCTTCTTTAAAATGCAAATAATTTAATTTAGTTATTGTTCTGAAATAAGTTAAGCTAGGTTCATGATGCTATTAATATAGGCTAATAATGTTAATGTCCAAAGAAAGATTCCAAATGGTTTCACTGAATTTAATGAAATAAAATAGAATTTGAAGATTAAATTTTGAATAAAAGTTCAATTTGAAATATGTATATCTTGATGAGTTGAGTTTTTGGGCCTAGTAGGCTGTACTGATTAAATGTCCAATGAAGATTAAATTTGTCCTTAGTTAAATAAGATGGATGATGGTTACCAAATTTGGAGTGTCTGTCTTCTTATAGCCCAAATTGGTACTCTTCAATGCACTTGTCCAATACTTTTGGATGATGAGAAATTTAAAATATAGGTTTTACTTTGGGATTATAAATTTTAGTTTAAATCAAACACAATTTCCAATAGAATGATGTTCACACTGTGAAGAGTTGGCAGGATCTGGGGAGAGGCAATGGTAGCAGCTCAGGAAGTCCATGTCCATTGTTGCAATGATGCACAGCTGGTTAAATTTACATGAATGACACTTGCCACAGTAATTTTGATTTTCTTTGGATAATTTTGAAAAATAATACTATATTTAAGATGTTATTACTATATTGCAATTTTCTTACAATTATATATTATTCTAAATAAATGATTATTGTTGGTTTTTGATGAGTACTTAATAGGTATGGAGAGAATTTGCATAAATATTTTATTGTAACATGAAATAGGATGATGTTTCTGTGGGGTGATGGGATATTATATAACATTGAACAAAATTTGATAAAATAACACATTAACAAGGAGAAACATATTAAATAACTGATAATACATTATCAGGGGCATTAACAGACATTATGAGAGAAAATATACAAAATAATAGAGAAATTAATGTTAATGATGAATGAATGACATGTAATATTACAATCCTAAAATGCTATGGGAAGGGAGGGAAACAGGTCCGCGACGTAGGAAGTGGTGACGGAAGTAGTCAAGGCGAGTTGTCCGGAGTTTGGGAACTGTTTATGACGATTAGATTAAGGTATCTGCAATCCTAAAATGCTATGGAAAGGGAGGGAATCAGGTCCGTGACGGAGGAGGTGGTGAAGGAAGCAAATGCGAGCTGTCCGGAGTGAGGGAACTGTTTATGACGATTAGATTAAGGTATATGCAATCCTAAAATGTTATGGAAAGGGAGGGAATCAGGTCGGTGACGTAGGAAGTTGCGAAGGAAGTAATAAAGGAAATGTTGTTTAGAGTGTGGGATATGTTTATAACCAATAGATTAAGGTATTTGCAATCCAATAATTCTAAGGGTAGGGAGGGAAACAGGTCCGAGACGTAGGAAGTGGTGAAGGAAGTAGTCAAGTCAAGCTTTTTGGAGTGTGGGAACTGTTTTTGACGATTAGATTAAGGTATCTACAATCTTAAAATTCTATGGGAATAGAGAGAAACAGGCCCGCGACGTAAGAAGAGGTGAAGGAAGTAGTAAGGTGAGCAGTGTGGAGTGTGGGAACTGGGAACCCTTTGTAGCAGTTAGATTAATGTATCTGCAATGCTGAAATGCTATGAGAAGGGATGGAAGCATGCCCGCGACATAGAAAATGGTGAAAGAAGTAGTAAAGGCTAGCGGTGTGAAGTGTGGGCAATGTTTGTGGCAATTATATTAACGTATCTAAAATACTAAAATGCTATGGAAAGTGATGAAAACAGGTCCACGATGTAGGAAGTAGCTTAGGAAGTAGTAAAGTATGAGCATAATGTGAGAACCGTCTGTGGCAGTTAGATTAATGTATCTTCCATCCTAAAATGCTAAGAGAAGAGAAGGAAACAGGCCCCACGACGTAGGAAGTGGTGAAGGAAGTTTTAAAGGCTGGCAGTGGAGAGTGGGGGAACCGTTTGGGCAGTTAGATAAATGTATCTAATACCATTATAAAGTCAATATACCAATATATAGTCAATTATAATACTTAAATGCTACGAGAAGGGAACGAAACAGGTCTATGGCGTAGGAAATGGTGAAGGAAGTAGTAAGGCTTGCAGTGCAGAGTGTGGGAACTGCCTTTGGCAATTACATAAATGTATCTGCAATCCTAAAATGCTATGGGAAGAGAGGGAAAAAGGTCCACGACGTAGGGGGTGATGAAGGAAGTAGTAAAGGTGAGCAGTGTTGAGTGTGGGAATGGATTAATGTATCTGCAATGCTAAAATGCTATGGGAAGAGACTGTAGACTGTAGGTTAAAATTATTACAAAGCACAAATCGATACATATTTCGATACATGCAATCGTTTACAATAGAAATTTACAACTAACCTAAAAAACGATCTTTACTCCCTAAAGAGTAAAAATGCTACTTTAGACCCGCAACGCATGCATTAAAAACGACTGTTTTGACTGCAGCATGACAAAAACAATATAGTATGAACCCCTAATGACTCCGCTCAATTTTGTGGATGCCTCTGCAAACGCCACCTAGTATTATGTGCTCGATGCACAGTAGGCTACATGTTACAACAATGGTATGGTATACACTTACCCTTGGCTAGGTACGGCCTCAGTATGTCCGTTGCCAACATGAAGCACATCGGCAACATCGGGTCTGACATCTTGCATTTGGGAATGTCAGCTGGAACAAAACATCATCTATGAAACAATCAGCTGTGGCATTTGGAACAAATAATTCTAAGCCAACAAGTCTTTGAATTTAGTAGTCTACATGTTACACTGATGCACCTGTTGGTTGAAATAGTTGTATTTATTTCATAATCTATTTTAGTCATACAGTATACACCATTTTTGCAATAAGAACATAAAAAGTGTTAACATTAGAAATAATATAATGATAATGCTTAGCAATAAAGAGTCATGACCTCAATTATTCTTTCTTACTAGGCGTCACTGATAAGAACACGTTTGGGTTTGAATTTGTTTTGAAGATGAATAATGTGACTGGTTGCTGTGTAACATCATAGACTAACCAACACAAGTAAACTTCTCATCCCATTGTAAATTTTGAAGCTCGTTTTTCATGTCTAGTTCATGTACGCCACACTGGGCGCTAGTGTCGACGAAATTTTGTTTCTATTTTTTTAGGGTTAATTTCTTGATTTGTGCTTTACTGTTTGGTTAAATAACTAGGGGACAATTTATTGTTTATGATTAGATCGTATTATTTGGTTAAACGAGGTTTTAAATGACTGTATTAACGGGAAACAAATTGTAAACAAAACACGACCTCTACATAAACTGTACAGAACTAACAATAAAATTGTCTTCAGCTGATCCATTAGGATGAGAAATCTACTAAGGGAGTATGTTTTGTCTATGGTAACATCCTCAGTACGTTAGGATGTTACGATTCAAGTGGTAGTAAAATAAACATTTGCCTGTTAAAGTTACATTGGATCAATATACTAATATAACTAGCTGTTTTACCCGTGCTTCGCAACGGGAAGATGTATTATACGGCCTAATCCAAACACTTGTAAAGTAGTTCGAATTTATAAACAAAAGCTACCAAATTTATACAAAATATAACATACAGTGTAATTTTCTAATGTTTACTTGAAAATATATCGATAACATTATTTCCATAAACTAGACACTAAATAGAAAGCAGACCCTGGGTTGTACAGCAACGGTTATAGAATATTTTTTATTTACATAATCAACGACTTAATTTTGGGATAAATAATCTATGACAAGGTTTTAGAATAAATAATCTATGCCAAAGTTTTGGAATAAATAAAGCTACCATGGTTGTGTAAAATATTATATTTAATTGGTCTGTATCAGCTGTCTGATATTGTGAAATTAGCACTTGGCAGTTCTGATTGTTTACATTGGAAACGCAATGGTAAATTTTCTCATCTTTTCATAGAGACCAATAATATTTACCACGATTACTAGAAAAATATACTATTGAAAACTTCACCTCAAAACTTTGGATATCCAAGGGGCATAGCCCAAGAGGAACCCAAGAAGGTAAGACATTCCTAGATATGTAAACAATTTTTGTGGTTAATTTTGGCTTTAGTATTTTAGTCGTGAAAGCCGTCCTAACACCACCTCAATTTTATAATACTATAGATAGATTGTTAACAACAATACATTTTCTTATTTTGGTTTCCCCTAATTTGAGCTATATTTTGTTTTTGTAACAAAATTCTGGTTTTAAATAGCTTCTAATTTTATTTCTATAGGTTTAGGCTACCGGTACTTATAATTATTAGGTACATATACAAAGCATAATGAAAAAGGACAAAAATCTAAACTATTTTTAATTTTAGAAAAACAAGGCCATTTTGTTAGATTATAAACTGTTGGCTTTCCAGATTTTAAAACAGCTCGAAGACTGTTGAGGCGGCTCGTTTATTTTATACCATTCCAGCTAGCATGGTAACCACTGAACACAATTAAAATAGTACTGTAATAGCTTATTAACATGAGAGTGTTTAGTTATTCTTTAATCTTAAAATTATTTTTCTAATGTAGATAACCAAGGAAGCTACACAGGATATAACACCCTAACCATCTCCAAAACTTTCACTCGGACTTGGTTTTAAAAACTCTCTAACATTTGAGACGCGTTAATATTTGAATACAGTAGTTATTTTAATCTTATTTTGCAAAAAAATGTTTTTGTGTTAGTAACATATCTTGGTCATAAATTATTTATTATCAAAATTATCTACGATTAGGACACCGAACAGTTAGATTTAGCTGGTTTCAACGTTAATACTAAAGATTTGATGTGATTATAACATATCACTTAGCATGTATCAGCATGGAAGTTTGGCCAAACTCTAATTATTTTATTTTATTTTATTTATTTATTCATATCACCGGATACACCATTTACAAAATATATGTGTTTTAAGTACATGAGCAGAATGAAAAGATAACAAAAAAAAATAGCAAGATAAGTTACATAATGACCATGAAACAAAGAAGCATTGCAACAAAAAATTATAACAAGACAACAACGTGACAAAAATAACAGATAATAACATTAACAAAGTATTGTGCAGATAATAACAAAAAAATAAAAAACGCTAACAACATAAAACGCTAACGCATAACATTAGAAAACGCTAATTACATGGAAATACATAGAAAAAACTTTTAAAAAAATTACCATCCGCGCTGCTTAAAAAAAATACATGCAAGTTAATTATTAGATACGTTAAACTTGTACAAAACTTATTTACATAAAAATTAATTTTTTGAATTATTTAAAAAAAAAACAAAAAACAAAAAGCCTTAAAAATATTTCAATTAATTGATTTAATAAAACAATATAACTCACGTAGATGGGTAGGTGAGGCCACCGCCACCAGTAGGGACACCACAAGGCTCAATCCTAGGACCATCATTGTTACACTGGCCAACATAGACTGCGTCGAGGCGAGGCCCCCCTGCTATATACCTGCCCCCCGGCCCCCCTGCCAAGGCCCCGAGATATACCTATGGGGCTCCACAGCCAAAATAAGCCCCACACCACCTTGAAACTATGATCTACAACCTATAGATAATAGCAGGCTCTAGGAATGGTCCTGTAGATAGTTGGCACGCAAACGATTTGAATTATCAGTATGTAATGTTTACTGAATGAATTAATGATTGTTTTGAACGTGATGTAAGATAGTATGTGTGTTTTGATATAGGTTTTGAAGGACGGATAAATCAATAAAGAATTTAACTTTCAGGGAATAATTATTTTAATTGTTTTACATTGATTGCGAATAAGGGCCTTGTGATAAAAGTTTTGTATGAAAGATAGGCTTACAGGTGTATGATCAGGATCAGGCCAGTAAATTCCTCTTAATACTGTTACACCATTCATACATATGTTCCATTCCCATGTTTAAAATATTGCCAGTAGGAAAATCCCAATGGAATAAAAATATAAACAAAACTAGCTTAACCAAGTCACCATAGTTGAGTGCCATAAAACACCGCTTTCAATCTTTTGCAACACCCAATTTTTTCATAATCTTGAATGCCAAATTGAATAGACCGTTTATAACAGAAAATATATATATCTTCTCGTTATAGTACAAACATTTCAATTGTAGCTCAGTTGAGGTCCATTCACCTTGTTCACTTTGAGTACAAAAGTTGCGACGGCTAAATTAAATATATATTTACTAATAATAGGCAAGCATGTTTCTTTCAAACATTTTTTCTCAGCTCGTGGGAAAATCTACGCATATTGTTAGAAATATATTTTCCTGTAGATGTGCAGAATCACTTTATAAATTAAAATAGGCTCAAAAATAAGCACAACAATTAATTTAAATTAAAAAAATTAACGAGGGCCTTATAGGTTGCTATGCCGGTGACAAAATATGAACAAAAAATCAAAACCAATCGAAAAATTCCATTCACATGTATTATTTACAGCGTGGGGTGAAAAAAGATAAGTCTGTACATTACATATTTTTGGTCAAGTTTTCGACCACTGGACGACCTCTGGACGATAGTATATATAAATGAGAGAGCCAAATCAATATCTAAAGGAGTGCATCCACTTACCCTGTAATCGCCATACGGATACAGTGTTTCACATGTATAAGAAACGGTGTCTCAAATAAAAAAAATCCAAACAAAAAATACACATGAACATTATAACCAAGTTACTCCAGTTTAACATGGCGTATGCAATCATCCAATAAATTACACAAATCGATAAACGCAACTCCCAAATAGCAAAAATGAATTGTGACTTCCTGGAGCGAAAGTGAAGAGAATAGGTCCGAGGAGTCACGACTTCCTCGTGGACCGTCGTTGAGAGGTCAAGGTCTCGGGTGATCTGGAGTTGCGAGACTCTCTCAGACATTCCCGAGTGAAAGGTCGCACAGACTTGGGTAACATCGCTCTGTTGTAGCATCTGCACAAACAATGCATGCCAGGTGCAATACTGTTGGTGGACGATTCTTTTGGCAAGCAATAAAAAGGGAGGATACAAGGGAGAAGTTTTGCATTTTTGAATATTTATAGGTTCCTAAGTGTTCGAAATGCGCAATGTAAAAAAGCGTGTATGAACTACTGAGGACAAACATGACAGTTTTGAAAATATACATTTAATGGAAGGGATTTAAATGCGTTTTCGCTAAGTACTTTTTGTACTTTGAATTCAAAAAGGTTAAAAATCGAAGTACAGTAAATGCACTAAAAAGGATATCTATATCATATTTGAGGTTAGACTGAATAACTAAGACAACTAGGATAATTTGGGACCTAGATCGATAGAAGACCAATATCATCATTTCATTACGCTCCTCAATGTGATCATTATTATAATATAAACAGGTGGTCTTAAAGAGGATTGATTTCATCCACATGGCCCAAATAAAAATAATTCTTTACGAAAAACTTTCAAAAAACTAATAATGAATGTATCATGCATGGCCAACCCTTCGAGAGTTCTGTATGTATTTCAAAGCCTTGTAGCACTATTTCACTTTTAAGCGAATAGTTACATTATCAGATAATATTTGGCTTCACTTTAGCTAAGAGATTTATTATTCAATTAGTAGTGTTTTAGAAGTAGTTTTAGTACTGTAGTATTTTAGTAGTATATAGCATAACACAGTGCATATAATAACTTAATTAAGAAGCGCT